TTGAAAAATCGGTTTCTTGGCTGCTGTCCTTCCACAAAGACCGATCCTGATCGAGCTCCTGTGGATTGTGGGAGGGGCAAATTTTAATCCCGAAGAAGCTGGGGATTTCCTCTGGTCTCTCAAAGAAGAAGCTCTGAGAATCTTCTCATCAGTTTTATTGGCCTTCCACTTCTGTTTTTGTCCTTGACCTCTCTGGATTCTTCATATTTCTTTATAACAGCTTGAATATCTTGAGTATCCTTTTTTTTGCTGACATTTTTTTGACCATTTTGTGTTTTTAATACTGTTCATATTTCCTATGTTTTCTAGTAGTATTCTGATAAATATATACTGTATAGTCAGAACATTGCTAAAACAACAAATCTAATGGTGGCCTAAGACATTTGCATAATACTGTATTTTTTCTGTTTGCTCTACTAAAGTTATTGTTCTATTACAAAATATTCTCTTATTGCTATACATTAACAACAGACCAGTAACTTTAACATTTTCATCAGTGAAAAACAAGCAACAGGGTGCAAAAATAGAGCACATCAATAGAGTTTCAGCTGACATCATACATGTCTCTATCATTGTTCTCTTCTCCTATTAATACATAAGCACTACACCTGTCCTGCACTACCTTTAGTTCACTGTTGGACTCTTCAGGTATATATTTTCATCCTGTCTTTAGAGTTTAGAGAATGTTTGGGACCTACTTCAGGGTGGGTTTCTATGGCTGTCGGTTTGGAGACCTGGATGATCAAGAGTTTGTCTACAAGGAGCCATCGATCACCAAATTAGCTGAGATCTCCCACAGACTTGAGGTACTCATCATGATACTAATAGCAGCGTCATTGCTTATTTATGTGAAACATATGTGAAAGTGAATTTATTTGGTCTACAGGAGTTCTACTCAGAGAGTTTTGGGGATGAGGTGGTTGAAATTATCAAGGACTCCAGCCCAGTGGACAAAACCAAACTGGATCTTAACAAGGTAATGTGCTATGTATATACAGTCTGTGGCTAATAATGAAGCATTATGTTATTGAAGAAGGATTAATTATTTTGATTTTATCATAGAAAATCATAACTACACAAATACTATTATAAAATTAAAAGGAAAAAATAACATAGTTCAATACAGTTCAACACATTCCAACTTAAATCAGTCACAAACACACTCCACATAAAATATCCATTCATACAGAACATAGGCAAATACAAACAGCCACGAGGGTGACTGATGAAGAGCTCAACAAAAACAAGCTCAGTACTGTTAATTGTATAATCTGTTTTGTGTTAGCATATATATTAAGGTCTATAACGGTCTGAACTAGGACAGCTCAGGGTTATGGAGCCAATTGTTTCACAACAGAATCCGATAATCAAACATCATAATACACAAAAGATGAGGGATTTTTAAAAAATAAGTTGTATGTGTTCTCTTCTTTCCATTCCTATCCCTAAACCCTCCCTTTCTTACTTGTTTCAGGCCTACCTCCAGATCACCTACGTCGAGCCATACTTCGATACCTACGAGCTAAAGGAAAGAATCACCTACTTTGACAAGAACTACAACCTGCGTACCTTCATGTACTGTACTCCCTTCACTCTGGACGGCCGAGCTCACGGCGACCTGCACGAGCAGTACAAACGCAAAACCATACTGACGACATCTCACGCCTTCCCTTACATCAAGACGCGCATCAATGTTATCCACAAGGAGGAGGTGGGTGTCTGTTCTGGAGAGGATCATTAGACATTACAGTGTAGAAAGTGGGAGGAAAAAAGACAGTATAACTTCCTCTCATTCTGTTGTTTATGGTTTTCCAGATCATTCTTGTCCCTATAGAGGTAGCCATTGAGGACATGCAGAAGAAGACTCAGGAGCTCGCCTTTGCCACAAACCAAGACCCTGCAGACTCAAAGATGCTGCAGATGGTGCTGCAGGGCTGTGTGGGCACCACCGTCAACCAGGTGCCTGTTTAGATAACTGCAACTGAAAAGAGCATTGGGTGTACCTGTACCGCCTTCTCTTACATGCTCCTGGAGTATTAACCCAATCATAGTGGGGTTTGAAGTCTGGGTCATTGTTTTAAGTAGTGACAGACATTCCTTAGTAGACATGTAACTATTTCTCCCCTTCACAGGGCCCCCTTGAGGTGGCGCAGGTCTTTCTATCCGACATTCCTGACGACCCGAAGCTGTTTCGCCATCACAACAAATTGCGACTCTGCTTTAAAGATTTCTCCAAGAGGTGATGACACACTCCACGGGCCACATTGCTGTATAACTAATAAAAACAAATACCAACTCCCCCGTGGCTTCTTTGCTTGTTCTCATGCAGGTGTGAAGATGCCCTGAGGAAGAATAAAGCCCTGATTGGACCAGATCAGAAGGAGTATCACAGAGAGCTGGAGAGGAACTACAATAAACTGAAAGAAGCACTGGGTCCTCTCATCAACCGCAAGATCCCCCAGCTATACAGAACCCTGCCAGCTCAGGCTGCACAAACACAGCGGTAACTTGAGACACTGAGCACACACGCCTACATACGGTGACAAAAAATGAGCTCATGCTGGTTCTCTGACCCCATCATACCAGAAGAGCCACATAAAACCAAACTTTATTATACTCTAGGTCACAGACTCGTACGTTCTGACTCTTGTCACCTGTGAATGGGAATGTTGTTAAAATTCATAAATAAACTGTGCAGGCTTTTCCTGGGATGCCACAAAAAACAGTTTTCACACTGACTCCTTAGCTCCCTGGGTCAGATTTTATGCCTCAAGTAAATTTAATAAATAAATTTAAAACACTCACTGCTCCTCACTTGATTTAATTTAATTTTTCAGGGGAAAACTACCCAAAGTTAAACATTCTTTATTGTTTTGCTTCTCTTCAGGAACTCCTACAGTAGGTCCAGTCTTCGTTGAGTCGACCGTCGACAGAAAACTGGAATAAAATACAGAACAACAAGCTTTAGAAATGAGCTCCGTCTCACCCCATCTGTTCCCCCTTCCCCTGCTGCACTGCACACCAACTGTCACACATTCCGTCCTCTTCCTTGTCTAGCTCGTTATTTTACCCACCCACCCCTCAGCCACCCACTTGTGCCCTAACCCCCACCACCACCACACACAGACAAACACAAACACACTTGTCACCTCTCTCCCTGTTGAACTGCCCCCTTCACCACCACTCTCACACTTCTGTACAGAGAAAACCTCAGCTGTTTGTGCTAGAAGGTTATGTGCACTTTAAGCATTGCCCTTTTCAGTAAGACTCTGTGTCCTTACTGACAACCCAAAGTAATCTAGTTTTAACTTTATTTTTTAAAGGACTACAGTTTCCAGACACATTTTTATATCCAAATCATCTGGGGGTTTGTTCATGAGTGTATCTGTTCTCATTTTTCTTCTAGAGTTTGCTTTTGACGAAGCTCTAGGTTGTGTGTTTTGTGCCGCACCCTTATTTAATTTTTAAGAGATGGGCTTTTTTTCTAAACTATGCCTGGTAGTAGTGACTGCCAGGCTTGGTTATTAAATAATCCCAGGGAGTTTTCATTTGTTATCAACAGACCAAATAACTGACATTCCTTCTTTCTCAAGTTGTCACATTAATCTGGCCCATCTCTCATTATAAGAATTCATTACAGAGCAGAGGTGGGATCATTATGTCCAAGCTCAGACCTCAGTCCAGTCTGAGTCCAGGAGGGAAGCGTTGTTACCACAGATCTAAGAGGGAAGGATTAGTCTGTGGGGAAACGGCAGGAACGGATGTTTAAATGACTTTTTTAACTGTGAAATTCTCTTGTAATGCACTGCAGTCACATCCGATGTTTATCGCAGCAGCACTGCCCCCAGCCGGGCCGTCTCCTCCCCCCACACAAATATGTTCAAACGGTGACATTTACTGTCCCATAGCAGTAAAGTCTGTTAACTGGAGTCATTTGTCCTTGTGCTTTAAGGTAGATGATATTTGAACTGCTGTCCAAAAGTCTTGTATGTGTCCACCACCCTGCTGTCCAAGATTTATATCAACTGTAGCCTTTCCCAACTACTGTATCTATTATATTGCACTGTTTTTTAAAAACTGCAACACGTTGACGCTGTAACTACTAAAATATATTCTTTTATTTTACAAGGCTGGAAATGGGTTTAGTTTTTTTTTACCAATTAGGTAAACTTTTTATTTATTTACACTGTCTTTTTTATTGAATTCTATTAAATATCTGTTCCTACACCTCTGGTCAGCTCTTGTTTGTGGTGCTGCAGAGCCAGTTGACAGACGGTGTAAACATATGAAATGGCTAATTTCAGTCACTGTAAATCATTTATCAAACTTTTAGTGACAGTTACTGAAAATAAGTAATGTATGTCTATCACGTTTTAATATGGTAAGGCAGTGCAGTATTTTTAATATTACATAATGAATATATTATTTCAGGTTTTGTTTTAAGGTTAAGGGTATAATGTTAACATTTATAAATACATATGGACATGTTCTTGTGGGTTTTGGGAGTCCCTGAGATTCTTGCAGGTACTTCCTTGATAGTCCTTGAAGGTCTTTAATGGCCCTTGAAATGAATGATTCCACTGAAGGTCTAATGTCCATGGAGAACCTTGGTCTTCATTTGTCACCTATGAAGGTACTGTGCAGGTACTGCAGTGTTTCGACTTTTACTTTTTTTTGATCAAACTATATTATCATTTGATAAAATATTAATCCAGCACTACTTAAAATTGTAAAATTATTTGTACTTTATTCAGCTGCATGTCCAACGAGATAAAATGTTATTATATAGTCATTTATTTGTGTCAGCCTGTGTTGACAGTGGTCATTCTGCATGAGTAGCCTATAAGTTTCTGAATAAATTCTCGCGGAGTATTTGTAACTTGAGGTAAGATGGACCATCATTGTGGTCCTGGCTGATCCATGTCCACAGAGCCCCATGAAGGTCCTTGAAAGAAGGCTGTTTCAGACATTTGGGTTTTCTTTAAATGTCCTCTCTTGTCGATCTGTGATGAAGCATGGTTTCTTGGAGGTAAAAGGCTTGTCAGAGCCTCGAAGACCCCTGAAGATCACTATGGTGGCTGCAGTGAGTGAGGTCCCCGCTGGCCCTTTAAGAGGAGCGGGGCCGGGAGGAGGCATCTTGGCTGCGGTGTTTTTGTCTCTGTCAGTGGGCGCTACTGGGCCGAGGCGGCTGGAAGGATTTCCAGAGGGCAGGTAAGAACAGCACCAACTTACAGCTCCTCTGCTTGAAACCAGTCTCGGTCTCTGTTTCTCAAACTGTATTTTAAAGCGCTTCAGACGAGGAGCCTTCATGTGTGTGAGACTTCTTTGTGAAGCGTCGGTCCTGCCCATTCCCCCGGTCCTCTCCATGAAGTAATGGGTCCATTATCCTTCACTACCAATCCACATGCAGTTCCGCTCGTATTTCTGCTAAATTATCTGTCTAATTTGCTTTCTTAATTTTGTATTTGCATGTCTTTGCATTGAGAGCGATGTTTATAGGAGTCTCATGGTCGCTCCCCTGGTGCGTCCCTTGTTTTGTTCAGAGCATCATTGGAGGCGAGAGCTGCGCTGTTGTTAACGACAACCAGGCTGTCTACAATAAGCTATGATAATAATCTATCCCCAGAGGAAGTAAAACTTCCTCCATCATACTGAAGCATCAGTTCCTATTTACCTTATCTTTTGCTGTGTTGAATGTGGGAGACATCATCTCTATAGTGCATTTTCTATAGCCTACAATGTCCGTGTATAATTTATTACGCACGGTCTGTATTGTTATTTTGCAGGGATCTTATAGAGGGGGGTACGACCCCAACTTCTAACTGATACAGTGGTTCTACAGTGCTGTCTGTCGCATAGTCAAATCTTACTCCTCATTTCCAGCTGGGTGTTTCTCTCTGCTTGCCCTTCATTATGAAACTTTTCCTGGTCTCTCACCCGTGATCTAACCATTTTGAATTTCATCATGAAAGGAAAACTCTGAGAGAAGATTGCAAGGACTCCGGGGAGAGGGTGGGTCTGTGCATTCTGCAAGTTTTCATTACTTCCAGATGTATGTCAGCTTTCCCTTGCAGCTCCTTGCCCTCACATTTGCTGGTCTCATAGGGTGGAGGTGGTCAGCGGTTACTGAGAGGAGTCTGTCTCCTCAGGGGACGATTCTGATGGAGCTGGGTGTCAGCAGGTGAACCAGATTTAAGTGCTTTGTGATCCTCGTTGAGTTCCCCTAATAAACTGCATATAGGCAAAAGCAAAATGTAGTTTTTCCCCTCCTATTAGTATGAATTGTTTGTTAAATACTGAACTTTGTGTGCCCTGATGTCGCGTGGCAGACTGTCCACATTGATCAGATGTTGTTTTGATGAAGGACACGCAGAACTTGGCAGGATGCGTGGGTGTAGTCATCAGCCTGTACTTTGCATCATACAATACACCACTGTCCTGCTGTTGTGCAATGGGCAGCTGGCTGCATGACACCTACCGGCTAATAGCCAGAGCCTGTAGCAGCTGCATGACACTTAGCTGGGCTCTGTCCTGTCACTGGGGTTGTTACATGAACAGAAGAAGCGTGAGCATGAAGCTACATCTAAATCTCTCAGTAACAGCTTCAACAAAAACTGAACATTATACTCATTATGAAGGTAAGATTCACTGCTGTGTCGTGCTAGTTTCAGAGTGTAATAATGGTGAAAAATGACTTTCCTTGTGCGAGAACCCCATGGTGTCCCAGGAGAGACCCCTGGGAGTCCCCGGATTGCAAGTTTGGGACTCTGTAGCCAGGTTTGTCTGCAGCTGGAGTTTCCTTCTGTATTTTTTCTTTCTGAGCTGGAATGTGATTGTCTCATTACAGCATTTGAACCCAGGGGTGCCGTGGTGGAATGCAGGGTTATAAACTCCATTTGCACACCGAGCCACATGCCGGGCATTTAAACGGTTTAGTGAGACTAATGAAATTACCCTGAACCTGCGTGAGACTGTCTGTCACTGTTTAGCATTAATACTCATTAGCTATTCTGAGCAGTTTTACTGCGTGATGAATTATCTGTTCTGTATAAACAATAAGAGGTGTTCATTATGTTTTTGATCACTTGAAATAAGGTAAGTTTGTCATATAAGGATCTATAATGCTGTTAATGGGCTCTTAGTTCAAACACATGCAGCCAAGTTGTTTCTGTTTTGCTTGTTTGCATGACATTCAAATAAGAAATGAACAAACCCAAATATACTGTTATTTTTCATGCTTTCCATCCTTCAAATTAGGCTATAAAACACCATTTCACACCATACAATGCCACTTTGTGGGATAATTAAGCAAAGTTTTTGTTTAAGAGGTGGCTTAGTTATGAAGTAGAGAATATACATGCCTAGTATTACTGTAGTAACATCAGGCCAGTCAGAGTTAACATATGGTCTTATTTGGCTTTTGAGGTACTGTTCATTATCTGCCTGAATAATCTGACTTGATCTCCTTTAATACATTAATCACCCAGAAAAGCAAGTTGTCTGTTCTGCCCAGTAGAACACACAAACATCTTGGAAGAGTCAGTAATGTTTTCCTGGCCTGTTTTGTTGTCTTTATATCCACAGAGGCTTTTCATCCTTGAATCAGGAAGTAATTGATAAGATCCCTGAGAGCAAATCACTTAACTACATCACTGCTTCAGTGAGATTACTTCCTCTGCTCTGCTGTGCTGTCTGCTTGGTACGGCAGCACACGCTGACCTGATCTTTTAACCCCAACACTGCTTTCACCAGCTCTCCATACCACCTTGTCTGCTGCCGTCTGGACTTCATCTTCCTCCGCCCCAGACCCCACAGTTTATTCAAAACAGCGCAGCTCTGTGCCTCTCTGCTCGGCATCTTTCTTAATCCCCACCTCCACAACTGCATTGGAATTTTCTCCCAAATGCCTTTTTTTTTTTTTTTTTTTTGGTCTTTTTTTCCGGTGCCGCTCAGCCCCACCCTTGCTCAGTTTCCTGTTGGAGGTCAGCACACTGACCAATAGCGGACCGGCGGGGGTTTACTCTGCTCCTGACTCCTTAGCCCAGCACCATCTGCTCCTCCATACCACTGCTCCTTGATGTAAAAAACAGGTTGTGGTGGGGACGTCCCTTTGAGTCATGATTTCACTGTCTTAAGTTTAAAGCCAAATTAGTCAAAAACTGCTACTTGCTGCAGTACCATGTTGATATGAGATTATCTGGCCTCATTACTCATGGTGAAGGCCCAGTCTGTCAAGTCTTGATGTACACTGTTCAGCCACATTATGCTCAGTGACAAATGGCTGTTGTTGCTTCAATGTATAATTCTTTAGCTGCTCAGGAGAGAAATTTGTTGTAATTTCTTTCTCATTTATTCTTCATTCAGGACCAGCTGGCTGAAAGAAGCCATTTGTGTGGCAGGGATGAGGACAAAGAAGTAGCTCAACAACTGTGTCTCCTGTAATAATCTGGATTTAACATTCAAAACTCTTCTGTATTGGTTTTGGCAGCCTGTTACTCTGAGAAGAAAACCTTTGTACTATAATCAGATTTGTTTAGTTAGACAAGGTTCAACCTCGCAGGGATTCTCCATTGTCAGTTTATTTTTAGGAATGCATAAATGATGGTAATCTTCTAGGCGGAGCTATTTAAGATTACAAGGAAATGTCTTTTGAAACTTTATTTGCCCATTGTGATGGTTTCCTGTGTGATTGATTGATGTTCTTGCTTTCTTAACACAAGCAGACGCATTCTGGTGTCAGCAGCAGGACTTGCAGTGATTCATACTGGTGGAGTCAAATTCTGGGAACAGTCGTGGTCTTCTCATTCGTGAAGTTTCCACAGCATTTCTTCTCTTCCCCCCGGCAGTTTTGCCTTTCTTTCCTCACATTTCCACTCTTTCTCTTTCACCCTCCCTCATATACTGTACTGCTGTCCTCTGCTTTTTCTCTCACTTACCCCGGCTCCTTTTTTTCTTTCTCAATTACACTCTCCTCCATGTAGCGCTTTCTCCTGGGCTGGGAGGAAGTGACTGGGTTGTTTCTGGATCCTTGGGGAATACAAAGATGGAGTGCCCTTCCCTGTAACCCTCCCTTAATCGGCCTGTGGCCACATATTGCCTGTTTTGCAACATCAGTAAGCATAATTAGACAATGAAGAAGCAGTGTCAGTCTGAGAGCTTTTTTTTCTTGCTAAACTGGCATTTGTCATTAGAATGTTACTAAAATGTTCCTGGTTATGGGCTGGATAATAAATCCAAAGTGTATCAACACATTGTCAGTTTTATCATCACAAAGACAGATGAAGTAAAAACAGCTCAGTCATATCATCTGTGCCCTTACATGTATAAATCAACTTAAAAGCTTCAGCTGTGTTTGTTTATCTGTGGGAGTCTGCCGGCCTCGGACAGTGTCAGTGTGGTGGGGGAGCTGAGGTTTTTCATTTGTGCTGAGTGGGAGCTGATGGGAGCTCACGTTGTCTCCTGTAACATTTGGTATTTGCCGTGTGCGCCAATACAGTTTAATGGTCCACATAGTTCAGCGTCTTTAACCCTATCCATTGACTGTAGTGTTTTTTTGATTTATAGGTTCCTGTAAACAGGTGGGGATGTATTGGTGTTTTCAGTATCTTGCATAATATTTGGAGCCTGAGGCACCTGTAGATTTAAACATCAATCACTTCATCCTTGTATTTCCCAGTTTGTGTCAGTGTGTGGGCCCATAACAGCACCTCATCAACTGTTTGTTTTGAGGTTAATTTCCTTGCCACACACTTATAAGCACGTTGTTTCTCTCTGCCTCTCTCTCTCGTTCTGAGATGCCCCTCCTTGCTTTATATTAGAACCAGCTGTGGAACTAAGGGCTGAATGAATGACTCTTTGTGATTTGGCTGTCGTTACAGTCTAAAAGGTACGATTCTCCCTCCGACCCTCCACCCTCGGTGGTATTAGCATATCAACAATATGAAACAATGGACTAAAACACAGCAAGGCTTGGTGTGATATTATGAAAAGGTCACCTCTCCGTGTTTTTCAGGCTCTGAGACCCAATGACAAAATGTTGTGCACACTTGCACAGCAGTCTGACTCTTTAGCCGTCAAAGCCAACGTATGAGAATCAGCAGACACAGTCATGCAGCTTATCTGGTAACACACACACACAGGAGCTAGAGCACAAGCTTCAAATCTGTGTTGTCCATGAAGGCACCACATTATAAGAGTCATGAAATCAGTCTAACCCTAAAGGTGATCTGTGCAGAGGATGGCTGTTCACAACAAACTAGAATGTGTGCACGTGTTAATAGATTTGAGAGAGCCAGAAAACAATGCACATTCACATGACAAGGAGGCTCTCAGCCTTGAATTGATTAAAAAGCCTTGGACTGGAGAGAAGAATGGGGTAGAGGAAAGCTAAGAGAGGAGGAGAGCAGCTGCACATGGACCTGGCTTCATCCAGGCTGTGCTATAATCACTCTGATTGGTATCTCATGGGGGCATATTATTCACATCTGGCATGCCAGTCAAAACCACTGGAATGTAATGGACCTTTGCAGCCTGTGTTTATAGTCTTAAAGGGGGCCAGTCTTTTGTAACCTGGCATAAGTCTCTCATTATCGCTGTGTCAACAGAGCTACACACCTTTATTGCAGTTTTGCTGACATCCCCTGATGACTACTCGTCTAGATAGCTTTTACATGAATGTGATTTGCATTTTTCTGGTCTGCAAACTGTTACAGTCAAAAGCAGTGGCTTCCAAGTTCCTTTATTCTTGTTTCCCACAGGTGCTGACTGTAAGAGTGTGAGACAAGGAAGCGAGAACGAGGAGCCTGGGGAGGAGAGATCCCATCCTTGCAGCACAAGCAGCTGGTATGAAGCAGAAAATAAATCCATCTTTTCCTAATTCACAAACCATTCTCAAGCTAGAGCAAAAAGCACAGCAACCTCTAAAGGCTGAGCGAGTCAATGAAGCAGTGGAAAAATCCACAAAGAACTTTGCTCGGTCGTGGGAAGGGTGGTATTTCAGACCTAGCAATACTGAGGTCTAATCCTTTGTAATGGCAATAATAATAAGGTGACTCATTAAATGGAAGCAATACGTTTGATACATTTCAGGGGGAGCTGACCTTGAAATGAAGCCTGTGATTTTAAATTATTCTTCAGGGTGGTCTCAATCTTCTAATAGAGCAAAGACAGACATCTGTGTACAGATTATAAATCAGACCCAGTGTCCTCCAGATGCCAAACATGTAAAGGTTTGGCTGTAAATGAATAAACAAGAAGCTGGCTTGTGTGTGTAACAAATGTTTTGCCTGCTGTAGTGAGAGGTCAAAGAAGCTGGAGTATAATACAGTTGTTCTGTTACTAGATGTACCACAGATGTGAAATTTGTGCTGGATGACTGGTACCTTACTCCCACAGGGTTGTATAGCGTAATCGTAATAGCAGGGAATGGAGGGCGTAGAGCAGGCGATGTTAACTTTTGTTAGTATGGTATGCAGCTGTATAGGGAGGTTGGGGGAGCATAATGGGCACAAGGCATTTGTCCTGGATATCGCTGGCCAGGGAGAGTTGTCTGAAGAATGGGAGGGTAGTGCTGGGGAAGGGCACACACTGGTTTCTGTTCAGATGTCATTTCAATGGAACTCTGTTTGAGAGCCGAGAGACGGGGAAGAAGGTCAGCCACTCCACCCAAATGCACACACGTACACACACTCAAGAGGACTGCACACACACTTTCTAACACATCAGAAACATGATGTGGGAGGTATGGCATCTGGAGAAGCAATAAGTAAGCAGACATTTGAAGCAGAGAATAAAGTGAGTTTATGCGCGTAGACATAATGTGAAGGAGTAGAAAACGATATTTCAAAGAGGAATCAAGTAGACAACGTCAGCCATCACGTCTGCTGGGCTGGGATGTTTGGTCGCTAAACTGCAGACTATAATTTTATCTCATCAACTGTCCCCTGTCAGCGCTGGCTGTCCTCCACCCTCCTGCGCACACACTCTGTCTCACACTCACTTTCTCACGCACACATACAATTGCATGCTCTCCCAGTCCCAGGAATTCTTCTTCTCTCTGTCCTGTTCTCACACATGTAGCCACTAATCACACACTTTTATGCCACACTGGAGATAGGCAGAGTCTCACACTGTGTGATGAAGGCAGGGAGCCAAAACTCACCTGAGCTGTTTTAATTCTTCTTTTTTTAATGTTTCATGAAAACCTTCCAGTTCCTCAAAAGAGAAATGTTTACAATGCTGACACCGTGCTTTTGTCTTCTTTGTTTTCATCCTTCAGGATCCCAGCAGCACTCCCTATTCTTTGTTTGTTTGTTTGTTTGTTTGTTTTTCAGATCTCCCTTATTTAGCATTCATATAAGGCAGTCCTAATGTATGTCTGGGGCATTTTATACATTCAGCTTATTGTCATCACTCTGTCAAATTAAATTCAACAGTAGAATTCTTTTAATCCTATTAATGTTAATATAGCTTCGTGTGTGCATGTGAACAGTATTTTCCATGTCACATCGTACATGACAAACATACTATGGTGATGAAAGGGACTCGGATAAGGGATGCTGAGACAAACTGACTACAGGACTTCAAAAATACCAAGTAGATTTAGTCAGTGTTTCCAAGTGTCCTACTTTTCACAAACCAGCAAGCACTGACCAGGGTCATGAGATAGATAGAGAGAGAGAGAGAGAGAGCTCAGCTCAGACAAGAGGGACTCAGTTCTTGTTGAAGAAGCAGAAAACCAGCCTTAGGCTGAAGCAAACTTTGTTTTTAGGGCATATTCAGACGTTTGCAGTGAAAACCCCTGATCTTAGCTCCTTAAAGTCTCAGTAATATAAAGATCAGCTGGCCATTGCTATGGATGGTTCCCAGTTCCCACAAAGTGGTGACCTAGAAAGTTAATCTTTTCTAAGCAAACACAAACTCAGAGTATCTAGCATTGATGGCTCTGCACAGTTTCTGGTACTGCATTGTTGTCTGTAGGAGGAAAAGGCACAATGTCTTTAGTTTATGAAGAGTCAGACTATTCTGGTATGAGCAAGGCACTGAAGTCGGTTCTCAGCGACTCACTATGCTTTCTCTGTGGTAAAGTAATGAGTTGGTGTACATTAAAGAAAGAGAGAGAGTTATCAGCTGAAACCTCCTGATCGTCAGCTGACGTTGAGAGGGTGGGAAGCACCAGAAAAGCACAAAGAGATGAAAGTGAGGGAGAGAAAGAGGAGAGGGTGTCTGGAAGCCCTAAATTAAGAGACGAAGTTAGCATGCACAGATGATTCCTAATAAGGTTGTAACTGGTAGTCTCAAACCTCTATCATGGAAGAAGCTGCCAGGAAACTTTCCTCTGTAACTTCTCTTCTCTAAATGCTAGGAACAGAAACAAATGCACAGTTGACTGTGACTCACTAGTGAGGGAAGCATTGAAAGAAACAGTAAAAGTGCTGTATTTCGGACTATCATACAACAACAATCCTGCCCAAAAGAGCAGTAATTTATTGGTCAAATACAAGCCACTGAAATGCATCTGTATAGTCGACATGAGCACCAATCGTGTCAGGTTTCTGTTGGGTATGTACAATCAAGTATTATTGAATTAGGTTCTATCTTGTTACTGCTACAGTATAAAAACAAACTGGTTATTTTTCATTATGCTGATTTATAATTTCACCAGATATCTGTGTCTTTGCAGGTGAGAGTTAGTGGGTGACTGTTGGAGTACCAGCCACAGGCTCATTATGGCTCAGGTGCTGCATATGGACCCAGGCCTCCCAGGTGCACTCTCTGTTCATTTTTATGGGTAATACTCAACATAATAGGCATTTTAAGATGATTCTTTTCTCTTGTTAGGATTTAAACTGTGAAACAACATGCAACTAATTTAACTATTGTGATATCCTTATGAGGTCAGGTTATAATGAGCTGCCTAATTTGGTGATTCTTTTAGAGCACATACATAAATACTCTGTAGCCCACTGGTAATGCTATTTTCTAAAGTCTGAGCCCAAGATTAGAAGCAAATTTCTGTTTGTTTATAGTTGATTTCCTTCCCCCTCAGGGAAACTCAACCTGCCTGCTCCCCCTTCCCTGCACAGCAAAGAACAGGAGGCTCCCTACTCAGTGGAGACCCCCTATGGCTACCGTCTGGATCTAGACTTCCTTAAATATGTTAACGACATAGAGAAGGGAAACACTATCAAGAAGGTGCCTATCCAACGCCGGCCACGCTATGGCTCCCTGCCTCGCGGCTATGGCTACGCCGGCTCGTGGTGGACTTCCACAGAGTCTCTGTGCTCCAACGCCAGCATTGACAGCCGACATTCCTCCTTCTCCTACTGTGCCCCAGGCTACCACACGATGCAGAGGCCTAGCTTCAGCACTGCGCGGGTGGAGAAGACCCTGTTGGATGCACGCAGAAAACTGGAGGAGGAGAAAGAGGGTCGAAGATTCTCCAACCTGGGCAGTATGCACAGCAGTGTAGCAGGCTCAAACACCTCCATCAGCAGTGCACACAGCTTCAACCGGGCCCAAGGTGGGGGTGGATCCTTTACCCCCGTTGGTTCTGGCCTGTCCACCCCAGTGACCCCAACCCCAGCCCACCTGCAGCATGTCAGGGAGCAGATGGCAGCAGCCCTCAGGAAGATAAGAGAGCTGGAGGAGCAGGTGAAGACCATCCCTGTGATGCAGGTGAAAATCTCTGTGCTGCAGGAGGAGAAACGCCAGCTCAGTGTCCAGCTGAAGAGCCAAAAGTTCCTGGGCCACACACTGGGCTTCAACCGAGGTCGTCCCCGAGGGGAGCTCTACATTGACATCCCTGAAGAAGAGTTGAGCACTGGAGCTAAGAGCAGCAACAAGCCAGTAGGGTCAGTGTCTCCCACCACACCCGAGGGCTCCAAACAAGACTCAGGCTGTGAGATTGAGGACAGAGTGATTGTGAGTGGAGGGCAACCAGATGCAAAGCGGGAAGTGTGCACTATTGGAGTCGGACCGGAGGACTCCAGGGACAGTTGTCATGTGGGAGTTGGGGTTCGGGAGGAGGATCTGGGGCTGCTGCCTGAGACAGAGGCTCTCAGGAATCAAGTGGTTCAACTTGAGGGCCAGCTGAAGAGGATGATGCAGGAGCTGCAGACTGCACAGCAGCGGGTAGCAGCAGTCCAAAAAACCCCTCAGGCAGAGCATCCAGTCATGGCTACGAGCATGGGTTGGCAGGAGCCACAAGGCTGCAGCCTGCACACTCTGGTCAGCTTCACACAGCAGCCCCAACAGAGGGAACAGAGAACTGTGGGAATCCAGGTGTACACATTTGAGCAGCCTACCATGGTGGAGGTAGGCACACTCCTCCGAGCAGAGACCTGCAGCATGCCCAGCTTTCAACCAGCTGGTGGTGCCATGGAGGCCCACCACAGAGGACAAGGTGAACGCCTGATTCAGCTGGTAGTGTATGACCAAGGACACTGAGTTAAAAGTTTATTACCTTTATCTGGACACTGAGTTAAAAGTTTATTACCTTTATCTGGACAGTCCAGTGCAGTCAAATGCAACATCCCTTTGTGAAACATATAATGTGTCTAAAATTTGACATGGAATGAACAAAACATTAAGCAAACTTCTCCCTTTGACGTACACAGCACCACTACTACTGTAACTGCAGTCTGACACCCTAAAATTATAAGGAAGGATTTATGGTATTGCTGTTGTTTGGATTGCACTACAATGTACAGATGAAGCCAGATATTTGATGAGTTAAGGCTGAAATGGTGAAGTCTTCTTTCTGTATCCCAGATGTTCCTGTTGAGTTGCCAATTGCTGTCAGCTCCAAGCAGGTGCGTGATGTCCTAAAGAGCGAGTTGTCCACTTCGGTACCTGTAGCTAATCCTGCCATTGCAGTAGGCACATCTGGTAATGAGGCTGGTTTGGTGAGTTCCCAAAAAGGAGAGACACACCTGCAAATAAACACAGAGACCATCCAGTCACAAGAAGACCCTACGACAGGTAACTGAACTCTGTTCAAACACCCTTTGACTTTTCTGACTTCTAGTGTCCCTATGATGAACTCAGTGGTATCTTTTCCAGCCTCATCTCCCCAGTCCTCTCTGAGGTCCATCATGAAGCGGAAAGCAGAAGGTGAACCAGGATCTCCATCCACCAAGAAAAACCTACAATTCATTGGTGTTAATGGAGGGTGAGTGTCAGTTGTTGCAGGCCACCAGTGACTGACTGAACACTGTGGCAGTGACCCATACCTGCTAAATGTGTGTCATCACAGATTTGAAGGCGATTAGCCACTGTTCACACAGAGTTTGTTCTACTGCAGTGGCTAAGGTTATAAAGTAGCATTGAAGTTTTATTAATTGCTTATGTACAGCAACAAAACAAGGGGTGAGCTCTAAAGACATTTGACAGTGAAACATGCTGTGTTGCAGCTATGAATCCACCTCATCAGATGATAGCAGCAGTGAAAGCTCAGACGAGGGGAGTGACTCCAGTGAATATCATGAAGCCACAGAAAAACTACCAGAGTCTACAATCCAGCACCGAGAAAGCAGCAGTGTACCTCACCAGGCTGTCGCCAAACTACCAGCCGTCGTTCCAGACCCCCAGTCACCAGCAACGGATACTGTTGTGCAAAAATGTGCCTCACAGCCACCAGCCTCTGACCCTACCCCAACTCCTCCATGTCCAGTAAACAGTTCTGCCTCTAAAGAGACTACCTGCCAATCATCAGAAATGCAAACCCAGGAGATTACATCATCAAGCACTGAATCCACTCCTGAGCAAAGCTCTATAACACACCCAGTCACCTGCTCTTCACCACTGTCTGGCACTAAAACCACTGAGATTACCAAGCAGCAATATACCGTCCAGTCGGAAACAGCTGTCCTCTCCAACCAGTCAGAGGCAAAGCCAGCAGCTGAAAGCACCACAGCATCAGCCAAGCAAGTCAGGTAAATGTACACATGGCTAACAGACAGACTGGCTGTACTCTCAAACATGTGTATGACTACGAGTGACTAATGTTTCCTTGTCTGTCTCAGACTGGAGCTGAGTGACAGCTTGATGTCAGCTCTTTATGCTCTGCAGAAAGCCCTGGGGGAACCCAATGCCTTCAGCCAACCAGGAGCAGTAAGTGTTCAGTTTAATTTGCTTTATTTATTCAGGATAATCCGCTCAGTGCCAGTACCGCTGTCGAGGAAATCCAAGATTGTCCCATTGCAAAAGCAGTTATAAACAATTACAAGCACAAGTGTGACCAAGAAGAAACACCATACAAATGGGTTTATCTTTAGGTCACATTCAGTTTCAGAACATTATGAGCACCGTCCTGACTAACAAAAGGGGGCATGTTTTTTACTATATGATTTTTAAACTACAGGTTATATGTTTGTTGTGTGGGATTAGATCATTTTTTGTTTTTTTTTTATTAGAAAAGCAAGCGACACTTTTCCTTTGTGTTTTTCGCTAGGTTCAGTTTGTTTTTCTCCTCTTTGATTTTCATGCACATCATGGTCAGCCTGTTTGCCTGTGAGCTCATGCACGTTGGCAACAGTCTCTCAGGTGTTTGTGTCTTTAAGCGTTCTCATTATGTCTGATCTCAGAGAGCAGCATACACCACCGTGCTGCAGGAGTGGCTGCGTGTGTCCTGTCACAAAGCTGCAGACACGGCTGTTGTCAAAGCCTATATGGACACCGTCGCCTCAGTCTCCCCTCGGCTGCTGGAGTTTGTGATCAACATGGCAGACGGCAACGGGAATACTGCGCTTCACTACACCGTCTCCCACTCCAACTTCCCAGTAGTGAAACTGCTGCTGGACACTGGTGAGCTGTGCGTGTACGTGTACTGTGTATTTAGGTATAAAGAAACTGTATATAACCCATTTTACTCCTGTTCATCTCACTGACTTGAATGTTTTTGGTGTGTTTTCTTGAAACAAAATTCTAAAAACTAAAAATGTTTGTTTTGGTTTATTGATTTAGGTATCAACTGTAAACCACTTTTTTTTAAAAGATTAGGCTAAAGAAATGAAAAATATTCATATTAAGTTATCAGCCACTCTAATTAAGAGTAAAATATGTGATTTTGGATGGATTTGTCAAATATTTCAAAATCTACTGTCATTAATCATCATGTGTGTCACACAGTCTTAAAACATTCCCGTCTCCAGTTGTATCACCTGTCACACTGATTGCCCTATATAACTCACAGGCTTGTGTAATGCTGACAAGCAGAACAAGGCGGGCTACACAGCCATCATGCTGACAGCTCTGGCTGCCTTCCACTCTGACAGCGACCTTCAGACTGTCCAGCAGCTGCTGCGAACTGGAGATGTCAATGCCAAGGCCAGCCAGGTGCGCCCTCTACTGTTCAGTCGCTTTTACTGCATATCCATACAGACACTATACTCATGCTAGATCTGAGCAGGTAGTATTTATAGGCGCTCTTGCACTCTCTGGTCACAGGTTTGTCACCAGATGAACATTGCAGCATGTGAATAGGTGCAAATGTCAGTAAGTTAGTTGTAACTTAGCTCCACGGGTTGAAGATGAGGTTGAAGATTTTGAATAATGCATGTTTGTAGGCCGGTCAGACGGCACTGATGCTAGCGGTCAGCCATGGCCGAGGGGACATGGTGCGGGCGCTGCTGTCCTGCGGGGCGCAGGTCAACATCCGTGATGACGACGGCTCCACAGCGCTCATGTGTGCCTGCGAACACGGTCATGTGGACATTGTGCGTCAGCTGCTGTCTGTGCCAGGCTGTGATGCCACTCTCACTGATAATGTAAGCATATTTCCCTTTCTTCTTCCTTTGCCTCACGTTTGATAAACCCTGCCCAAATCTACAAATGTTTTTTTTTTATAGGACGGCAGCACCGCGCTGTCCATTGCCCTGGAGGCTGGTCAGAACGACATTGCTGTGCTTCTGTACGCTCACCTCAACTTTGCAAAGCCTCCTTCCCCTGTGAGTGCTTTCATACACTGCTATCTGTTCTTATTGTTTTCATGTGGAACTTTTTGAAAGTTACAATCTTGGACCAACATTCAGTAGGAAAGGATTTGCCACAAATCTGACCACTCACAGTTGCCTCAGTAATGGTGCGATATCATTCAGCCATATGACCTTTTTCACTGCAAAGGAAGTGGAGAGGATTATTCTGGCAGATGTGGTTAAAAAGAAGAAGAGACAGGTGAAGCAGATTGAATGGTCAAGAACTGGCACATCAGCACAAAATAACCCCTGGAAAAAAACTAAACATCACACACTTGTTACTATGCTTATGATACAAGAGTAAACATATAAGGATGTCTTCTTTACATTTCACACTATCAAAGTTTTCCTAGTTAAGTGTATAGAATGTGTACTCCTTAATCAGGTACATCTACAGTCAGTCATCCTCACTGTCCATATGTTATCACTTTACCTCTCCTTCATTGTGTATCTGCAGTTTGCCTGGCCCCGATAAATGTAGCTGCACCTCCAAAACACAACACTCACAAATAACAGAATTTCTCAACTATCTTGTTTGTTTGTTTTTGTCTAGATTTCACCGAAGTCTCCTCTCTTGGGTTCTTCCCCTCCTGCCGGTGAAACCAAATAAATCATATTGCCTCAGCAGCTGGCAGCAACTCTAGAGCCACCCAACCACCACTACCCATATTATTGTGTGAACTAAGAAAACAAACATTTGTGTGTGTGTGAGTGTGTGTGTTTTCACCCTCCATAATTTATGCAGATTATAATGTGCAGACAATTACATGACAGCTTGCACCATTGCTTGTTGCACACAGTGGTTTTTTTTAATAACAGCGCTAGTTGAAAACTTGGATTTCTTATGTGATGCAATCTGAGAAACGGTGCATCGGTTGCATAAACATTTGTTCAATCTTGCAGTAATCCAGTTTTTGGCACATATCAAAACTGTTTACTAAATTACATTAGACGGTTCATAATCAAACACTAGTTTTAAATCATGTGGATTACAGTTTCTTTCTGTAACAGGAATGAGTGCAGCAGCTGTCACACATTTTCATCATTGTGTGTGTGGCTGTCAGTCATTTGGAAAAACAAAAGCCCCCCCCCATAGATAAGTGTCCTTGCATCAACTAGCTCATTGGTGCTACAAAAATATGATACAGAAAATACCACTTCAACAATATATCAGTGTTTATACACAAGATTTATTTACACTAGAGTATTTTTTATATTGGTTTTTTAAAATTCAGGACCTCCAAGGATCGTGATTTTTATTTCCTGGGCAATAGTTCAGTCATGACACCTTTTTAACCTGAGGACTCAATTTCTATTGTGTCGACCACATTTCCCCAATTAAACCCAAAGATGTCTCGCTCCTTTGGACGTTGTGACACTGTGTGTTGAGGACAGGCCTAGCAGCAGTGTGGAAGAAAAGAGAGGTTAGCATGATTCTCTGAAGGCTATGATACTATGTTCTTTGTATTTTTATATGTGAACGTATTTTGTATGGTTTAAGGAAAGACTAAAGTGTGTCTGTGTGTAATATTCTGTGCTTATACGATTGGACAAGGAAAATTTCTGAAAGTACTGGTGAAGCCATCTCAGTTCAGTAGGATTTGTCAGGGAACAAGAAAGCGACTGAGTGGGGTCTTAAAAGGACGTGCGTTGTAAGATATAAATATCCAAATAATATATGTCAATATAGACTGCTAAGTGTGATGCATACAATCAAATTCCTTGATGAAAAGTGCATAGGCTATTGATGTCAAAATTTCTATTGCTTTTTAAGGATTTTTTCACAGTTTTCATATTCACTTTTAAATAACTGAATTTTTATGAACACAATTTTTTTAATTTAAGTATCTTTTTATACATTTAGATTTTTTTAAGCTCACCTACTTTATGTAATCACACATTATTATTACATTATGTATATGTTTTATGAGGTATGTAAAATTCTAGATAGTTTCTTCTCTTCTAATTTGTGCATTTTGAAAAAAAAAAGAGTAATAAATGTGGACCACATTTTTTTCTATTGCATTTATTCACTTACTTTTGCAGGTGAGGAGTATTTCATCGACACTTTATATAAAGTCATGTAGCTAATGATAAAACTGGGTCTCTAAAAAACAATAAGACACTTGTTATTGTTTTGCTTATTACTGTGGAGCAGTGGTTAGCACTGCTGCCTCACAGCAAGAAGGTTCCGGGTTCGACCCGGGGCCTTTTTGTGTGAAGTCTGCATGTTCTCCCTGTGCCTGCTGGGTTCTCTCTGGTTTCCTCCCACAGTCCAAAGACATGAAGTGAGTGAGTGAGTGTGTGTGTGTGTGTGTGTGTGTGTGTGTGTGTGTGTGTGTGTGTGTGT